ACTACTCGCGTTCGCGAGAACAAATAGTCTCTACCACTGTCCGAACCTCTTCGTAACCCTCTCGCAAAAATGTCCGATCTCTCAATCCTCTACAGCCCCGCCCCCTACCACATCATCAGGTCCGCCCGCCCTCTCCGTCTCCCAGCCCTGTCCCCAACTAACTCGACCACTCTACCAGCTATGGCACCCTCCTCGGCAGCTCCATCTACCAATCCTTCATCAACGGCATAGTCTCCTACCGCGCCCTCTCCCGCCCTCAATTCTCCACCCTGCAAGCCGCCCTCACTCCCGTCTACTTCGCCCTGCAAACCGCCCTCCCGGTCATCATGGCGCTTACATACCCTGGCGTCAAATCCCCCTCTTCCCTTGGTGGTATTACCACGGAACCCTCAAGTCTAAGCGGCATACTACAAGAGCGAAACAGATGGACGGTCTTAGCGCCCATTGCGACGGTTTTCGCATTGAATGCGGCGAACTTGCTTTGGGCGGGACCGGTTACGACGCGGATTATGAAAGAGAGGAAGCATCAGGAGACGCGGGACGGGAAGAAGTATTATGAACAGGGACCGCAGTCGAAAGAGATGCAGAGGTTGAATAGGGCGTTTAGTCGTATGCATGGGGTTAGTGCATTGACGAATTTGGTGGGTTTGGGAATTACGGTTTGGTATGGGTTCTTGCTGGCGGAGAGGTTGCAGTAGGGGAACTAGGCCGGAAAGAAGTATGGGGAGGTTTTGGGGGAGAGTGGCGTACTTCTGGAAAAAGAATTGGGTATGGAGCATGTGAGAAGGTCTGGTTTTTTGGCGAGGTTGCATGAATACACCGGGAATACGCTGTGGCTGTGATGACTGGTCATGATAGTATTACCATATGCTCACCGTTTTGAGCCTACCGCTTTGAGCTTTTCGAATCGTAAATAGGCCTAGATCCCCAAGGTGCAGGAGGTCCTTCTCCATATTCAACAACATCGTTCGTCCATTCGATTAAATCAATGTCATCGTACGAGTACAGCCTTCGCTTCTGGCCAGGAATTCTACGGCCTCTTCTTGGTGGAGCATTCCCACCCGAAGCAAAGAGACTTCCGCCACCACGTATTTGAGTGGAATACTTTATAAACTGTCTGGAATGATACTTAGAACTGAAATCTGAGGTAGAGAATAACAGGGCGGTGACCGTCGTAGCTCGAGAACATCCGAACTACGTCTGACAAAGCTAGCGACATCTCAAGCGTTTGAGCTATGGAACGAAGAGATCAATGGCGAAAGTGAGTTAGGATCTAATCGAGGATTTTGGAGGAGCGGCAGATGTTCAGGTTGATTACTACTCGAGGGTAGACAGAGCAACAAGTATATTAGGAAGAGGGGCGCTGGTCAGCGTGCGAGATGATCTGTGCTAATCAAGAAGTCTTATGATGAACGGCAAATTGAAGGGAGTACAGCTTCTGGTAGCGATTGCATCGGCGAGATACGCTTTCCCACCAAATGGGTAAAGTTTGGACATGAAGGATCCCTTTAGATGGCTGACTTCCCAATTCTGAGAACGTCTGCGCGGGCCAACAGTGTTGGAAAAGGGCTACCAGCCTTCGTAAGCTTGCGAAAAAGACTGCATGAGTTCCGTCCATAAACATTGCGTCAAGCTCAGCCTATCCAGAAATCATACAACGCAATTTTTTTTCACCCCCAAACTGAGGACAAGGACTGAAATCACGCGTGCAATTTCTAGCTGATCCAGCGTTCCAGGCTGTATGGAAAGAATGTGCAGTGGACCTGGCTGGGCCTTGAGTGAGATGAACATCTTTCGATCGAGAGAAGGTCAGACTCTACCGTTAAATCTGCCGTATGAAGGAGCAAAGTTCCCTTGACAAGTCAGAGTAGTGCAGTTGATGCTATGACACTACGTCGTCGCGAAGCAGAAATTGTGGTAGTCGTCCATGTTGTTGGGGTTCCAAACCGAAATCCTTTGGCATTGGCTCCATAAAAGCGCAAGCGGAGCCTTCCCCCGAAGGATAGATTCGTCTCTTGCACTGTCATCGTCAAGATTCAAAGGCCTTGTACTGCCGAAAGACGTTGGTGCTAAGACATAGTGGTCACGTGCCTTCGCGTTTAGAAGTTTCCGCGACGGTGTCTGCCTGCTACTTCTTACCCCACATTACCACATATCCACAAACAACCTTCCCTTCTCCCGCGATATCACGCGGGCGCGAGCAGCACCGCAACATAATCATGGCAGACAAGGAGGCGACGGTCTACATTGTAGATATGGGGAGGTCGATGGGTGAAAAGCGCAACGCAAGGAAGGAATCAGATCTTGACTGGGCGATGACCTACGTCTGGGAAAAGATCACCAGTACAGTAGGTAGGTGGAAACTCTCTCTGCGTAAGTCTGTCTGACAGATCTAGGTAGCGACCGACCGGAAGACTGCACAGCTTGGAGCCATTGGGCTGCGCACCGATCGTACGACCCTTAAAACACTTTGGCGATTGCGGACGTTCATACTCGAATAGGCACGGAGAATGAGCTAGACAGCGAAGACAGCTTCCAAAATATATCTGTGCTGCAGGAGATAAAACAGTGGGTATCTTGCGGCATTGGAAAGAGCTCGGCTCAAATCCTACAGGGTTCTGCTACCGGGCTTGAAGGATCTATGGCAAAAAGTCAAAGTGAGCGACACGGCCGATGGCGACGGTACGCTTGTCTCCCTCACCCTCGAAGGATAATCTACTAATGAAGCCAGCAATATCGGCTATTGTCATTGCCATCCAGATGATCACGAAGCATTGCAAGAAGCTGAAATACAAGCGGAAGATAATCCTTGTCACAGATGGACGGGGCTCTATGGATGCGGATGACATGTCGCAAATCACGGAGAAGATCAAGTCAGACGATATCGAGCTTGTGATCATGTATGCACTAAATCGAAATTCAAAAGGATGAGAATTAACGACTGGCAGTGGAGTTGACTTTGACGATCCAGATTATGGATTCAAGGAAGAGGACAAAGATCCTCAAAAGGTCTTCAATCACAACCAAGATATCTAACATCTGCTTATGAGACGATACAGGCAGTCAATGAAGCAACGTTCAGAGCTCTGGTGGAAGACTGCGAAGGCATTTTCGGAACAATGCAACAAGCAATCGAGGAGCTGGGTACGCCAAGGCTCAAGACCACGAGACCTGTACCTTCCTATAAAGGCCAGCTTACCCTTGGAGACCCCGAGCAATTTGATTCAGCTCTCTGCATCGATGTCGAAAGGTATCCTAGGGTTGTGGTCCGAAAACCGCTTGCAGCAAGTCAATATGTTCAACGGTCTGATCTATCAAATGACCACGTCAGCACACAGTCCTCGGCAACAATGATGCCTGATGCGGATGGAGCCGATTCCGGTCCAATTCAATCTGATGGGAACAGCTTGACGTCTGTGAGGAATGCTCGAACCTATCAAGTCCTTGACGAGGAAGCTCCAGGAGGAAAACGAGACGTTAGCAGAGACGATTTGGCTAAAGGCTATGAGTATGGGCGAACAGCTGTGCACATAAGTGAGTCTGACCTTAACGTCACGAAATTGGAGACCCAGCCGGGACTTGAGATCGTTGGGTTCATTCCCTGGTCGACAGTGAGTGCCTAATATTTGCATGCTTCAGTAACTTTATCTCTGACAGAGTACAGTTCGAACGCTATATGACTTTGTCTGTCTCTTGCATCGTCATCGCTCAGAAAACGAACAGCAAGGCCATAATGGCCTTGTCATCGCTGATACATGCTCTCTTCGAGCTGGAATCGTATGCAGTTGCCCGCTTGGTCACTAAAGCAGATAGAGAGCCCCTGATCACCTTGCTTGCGCCATCAATCGAGGTTGATTATGAATGTCTCCTTGATGTACAGCTGCCTTTCGCCGAAGATGTCCGTTCCTATAGATTTCCACCGCTGGACAGAGTCATCACAGTGTCTGGGAAGGAAATCCGGGAACACCGAAATCTACCAAATGACACGCTGAGCGCGGCGATGAGCGACTACGTTGACCGAATGGATCTCTCGGACTTGGGGAAAGATGATGAAGGAAACCCGGCAGAGTATATGAACATGACTGATACATTTTCCCCGGTCCTGCATCGCATGGACCAAGCAGTCCGATGGAGAGCGGTGCATCCCACGGAGCCGGTCCCCCCTCCATACGATATACTTACAAGATATTCCAACCCTCCTAAAGAGCTGGTGGCTGGATCCAAAAAGAGGCTCGAAAAGCTGATCGCCGCGGCGGATGTCAAGAAAGTTCCGCCCAAAGTCCAATCCAGAAAACGCAACCGCAACGAAATCAAACCCCTCTCCGGCCTCGACGTCGGCGCTCTCCTCGGCAACAACAAATCCAAAAAGACCAGAATAACCCGCGAAAACCCCATCCCTGAATTCCGACAAGCTCTCGACACGACCGAGTCTGAAGATGCGGTCCGTGACGCCGTCAAGCAACTTTCCACAATCATCGAAGCGCAAATCAAAGACAGCTTCGGTGACATTGCTTATGGCAAGGCGGTGGAGGAGTTGGACCTGATGAGGAATGAGATGATTGACATGGAGGAGCCGGGGTTGTATAATGAGTTTATCAAGATTCTGAAGGGGAAGTTGTTGGGGGAGGAGCTGGGGGGTGATAGGAGGGAGATGTGGTATGAGATCCGTAAGAACAAGCTTGGATTAATTGAGAAAAAGAGCTCGGACAAGTCGAATGTGGATGAGGATGAAGCGAAGGCGTTTCTGTCGTCAAGATCATAATGCTGATTTGTAGTCTATGTCTCGTGATATCCACCCTTTCTATTACACCAAGCCGAAAATTCTTTGATGAAGATGCAAAGACAGCCCCCGCAAGGTCTTCGATCCACACACAGCACGTCCATTCCGAAGCCGGAAGTTTCAAAATCTCCCAACCTGACACCCCCACAACTGCCTCCTTTTGGGTCAATGTGATGTGTCTGATCCTCTACACACTCTTCTCAGCACGCGCTCACCCGATCTAAGCCGTCGCCCACAGCCCCGACATCTGCAGCCCCGACCCCACCACCGACCCCGTAAGCGTGCAGACACCCCGCCACCAGCCGTACACGAAGCCGAAAGGGAAGCTCTTGATGGCCGCGTCCACGGGTATGATATCTATGCCGCCGTCAGCAGTCTGCATTATGCCGTCCGTCACGATGCCCGAGGCGGCATGAAGAGGGGGAAAGGGGCCGGGAGGGGAAAGGGGGACGGAAAGGGAAAGGTATAGTACCCCACTGTCTGCTAATATAGTACTTATCGTCCTGTTGACTCTGCACGAGATCGAGCACCGTCATGAACTTGACCCCTCGGATCCGCGCGAAGCCGAACGGGAGGAGGACGAAGTTCACATCTTCCTCCAGTTCGATCACCGCGCGGGTGTTGTCGGCGTCGATGGTGACGTCTGGTTTCGTGGTTCACGTGCGCCGTCAATGAAGGGTTCTCGAATCGGGGGAGAGGGAAGACGGGATACTGTAGGGGAGAGAGGGGGGAGAGGGGAGGGAGGGGGGGGGTTTACGTACGCGTGAAGTGGATCTCGATCTTTCGCGTCAGGACTTTGTAAACGGCGTAGACTTGCTTGAGGGTGTCGATGCTGTGGGGGGCGGGTTTGACGTCGACGATGGGGTGCACGAAGGCGGCGTTTTGGGTGAAGCTGGTGGGTGGGGTCAGGATGGGAACACTGGATCGAAGGAGCGAGAGAGAGAGAAAAGAGAGAAGAATCCATGTTGGGTTTTCTTTTGGGGGTCTTTGGTTACTACGTTGTCTTGCAATAGTATGAAAGGGTCATCTATAAAGAAAGGTGACATGATGTGAGAGCACGGTCGTGATTTCGAAACGACATACTATTTTTCTACGGTAGCTTTGTGTACGACTGGGTCATCGCTCTCGGTAAGATTGCGGACAATTTGCTTGATTTGTTCCACTGACGGCTTCTCCATTGTAGTTTTGCCGAGTGGGCGTTGTATATCCGGACAGATCCTTCGCTGTCAGTATCTAGTATTCGACGAATGTGAAGGTGAGTTGTTTCAAGTTTGGGAAAACCGTTGAGGAAGAATGACATATCCATAGAATATCGGCTAGAGCGGCAAAGTATTAGGGTTACGATCCGATCATGCAGGTACCGTTTACAAGTTCAATAAAAAGTGCCAAACTAGGTACCTAAGTCGTACGGTGGGCAAACTACCAGAGAAAGTGGTGGTCGAGGCGGTACAAATCCCTAAAAATACTGGCCGACCAGAGTCGTACCAACGAGGAGCCGTTATTACGGTTATTGAACGCTCACCCCAATAGACTGATGACTGATAAATGGCACGTATCTGAATGTCGATACCCAAAGACGACGTCAAAGATATAGCTGCTCATACGTCCAGCTCTCCGTTCACAGGCATATGTATGGGTATCGTCTAAAACAGTAAAAAAAACGAACCAAAAGCCTTCCGTCTACGTTCTCCGTCTCAATCCTTCCATCCACCGCTTTCCTCAACCTCTCGCTCCCTCTTTGACCCACTCCTTAATCCTCTCCGCTACATCATTCACGAACCACTGGTACCTCTCCCCATCCACGAAGAAGAGCCCGCAATGAGCTCCCACCTCATCAACGCCTGGCATAAAGACCCTTACCCAGCAAGGATCAATCTGGCCATTCTCCTTCGACGGTAGCATGCAGAATTTCTTATCTCGCTTTGCTTTCTGTTCTTTGGGCTCAGTATCAGCATCAGCACCGTCTGCATCGGAATCGGCCATCGACTTTGTCTCGCGCAAAGAAGCATTCCCGAGCTTATCGCTCTCCACCTTAGCTCTTTGCTTTTCGGCCTTCAATCGTTCCTTTTCGCTCTTCTTTTGCTCTTCCCTTTCAACTTTTGCTCTCTCCCGCTCTCCTTTCTCCATGCCACGCTGCTCGGCTTTGGTCCTGTCCTTTTCTTCTGCTTTTTCAACCTTCTCTCTCTCCTTAGCTGCATTCTTTTCCTTTTTCTCGACGAGCTTCCGTCTATCAGCGATCGCCTTGTCGCGATCTCTGACTGCTTGCTTATAAGCTTTGACTTGGCGAGAATGTTCCTTTTCCGCGAGTTTGCGTGTATCCTTGTCGGGGTAGAGAGTGGGGTCGAAGAGGGCAGGTTCTTCGGGGGCAATGGAAACCGGAGGGAGAGATGGTGCGGCTCTCAAGGGCGGCGGGTTTGTCAATGCGATGTACGGGGCCTTCGAAGGGCTGGGGCGTGAGTTGGCATCGGAATTGCTAGGCTTGAGCGCTGCAAGCTTATCATGGTCGTCGAGTTCTTCTTCCCGCTCATCACTTGTAACAGGAGCCGGGTGCAAGTGGTCCATTGCTTGGCTAACGTCAGACATTGCGCCTTCATCGTCGCTGATGCCTTCGCTAGCAGTGAGGAAGGCTTTGTCATGGTCTTGAGTGTCTTCTTCGGCTATTTCTTCGTCGTTCGGTTTCTCGATGGAAATCCTAGGACTCGTGTCTGGCGAATGACCCTCGAGAGTGTCGAGGCTTGTCTCGTGTATCTGCAGTGCCATGCGTGACGATTCTCCATCCAGTTGACCAGTTTGAGTCCGAGATGCAAGAGGCGATGGCTCCTTTGGCTTCTTCGGCCGCCCCGTACTTGCAGTGTAGTAGTTCACAAATCTTGTTCTCTGTGGTGGTTTAACATCCTCGAGGGCCCTGATCTTGCCATACCGATTCTTTAAACCATTATAATCCGCCATAGCTCCGCCGAATTCAAGATGAGACTTCACATACGACTGTGTAGCTTTACGCAAATCGTCAGAATGTTTGTTGAGGAAATGCCAGGCATTGCTCCAACCAGTACGCTGCGGTAACCGCACATCATTGACAAAAGGAGGGTCGAAGTTTGGATCTTTGGTCGGCAGATCAGGAGCAGCGGATAGTGGTATTGAGGTATTGGAACTTGACTCCGTTGGCATCAACGTAGATCCAGTAGCCTCTGAACCAAAGTAAGAAGACGACGCAGAAGACTGTATGGCTTCGTTGGTCGACGTTCGAGTGACGTCCTGGCTTCCAGCACTGGTCTCTGCAGATTTTGGGGCAGGAGAATCTGGCGCTGGTCTGAACAGACTCCCAAGCCCACTAGCTATGACACCAGGATGCATTCCCAGAAACGGAGTATCAAAATTGATCGTCCCCAAGACTCGATGTCCTTCCAGTAAAGCCACCTCCGCAGATAGCAATCCTCCCATACTATGCCCTAGCAGCACGACATCCGTATCCCGCCCCTCATGCGGGCTTAGCCATTCTCCAAACGCATCCCTCGCGTATTCAATCGCCTTCCTACTCTTATACTTTGGATAAATCTTTGTGTGCACCACATGGCTTCCCTCCAGCTTGACCGTAACCAGGTTATGCACGTGAGCCGGAAAACTCTGGAAACTGGTTTCGTTTCCCATGAAACCGTGTATGTACACCAGTAACAGCGTTCTTTTTCCATCTGTCCTATTTCCATCTCCATCCGTGTGAGAATCATTGTGGGGTACGAGCGATTGAGTAGACGAAGAGCGAGGGTCTTGTGCGGTCCAGGAATTGGTCAACGGTTGGGAGTGATAGATTGGTGCAGTCTCAGTGTAGGGAGGAGGGGCGTCTGGGGGGTGGTCTGGAAGTGAGTTGGGGGTAACGCGGGGTGGTAGAGGAGGGGGTGGGCGGCGCTGGAAGGGAGGTGGTTGCTCTTCTAGATGCTCGTTTACAGATGGAGGCCGGTGAGTCCCTGAGAATAGAGTTTGATCATGTTTGTAACCCATGATCGCTTCGTGCTGTGACAGCACCTGGTTGGGACGAAGGTAAATATTGGGGTTGTGCCGGGTAGCGGAGGGAAATTTACGAGCACGGAGTAGAAGGGAAGTCACCCGAAAGAAATTTCAGTATCTTGGAAGGCACATGAAGATGATTGACAGATCGAATTCCGTATAACACTCGCAGCATGGTATCTAGCACTGACAAAAGCTGGCCCTCACGGCCTGTTCCGTCCCACAACACTCCCCCGTTCGAGACAACGCGACATAGGATCTCCTCATTGTTACACATTTCTATCACAAGAACCCACTCCACGCAAATTATCCAGCCCCAATACTGGCAGCGTCCCCTTCTCATCGTAAAAAAGACTTAATTCGACAGTGATGCCCTGCGACTTGCAGGATGAGGCAGGCCTGCTGAAGCGCGGTGAGATCGCACAAGATGGATAGCTCTTGCTGTCCACGATGTGTCTGTTCAAGATACTCTCTAGCTGAAGGGTACCGGCTGATGAGGTGACAAGAAGGCTGACGGACGGATCGACCGACTGGTACATTACCCACATTCACCCCCATTCATTATGATCAACCGTATAGGAAAAGACGTGGCGTAAGACTCTCCAGAGCCTCGATAATATTGTTACAGCGGCCGGTGATAGGTCGTTGGTGGTGGCGGAATCGTTGAAAGTTCCTCCGTTGCTAGTCGATTAATTACACAAGAAAGCGCGGTTAGAGGCGATGAACCAAAACCACGACTATGGTTAAATATTGACAGTAGAAGTGAAGTTGATGTTTGAGAAATTGGGGGTCATAACTCAAGGTGGTGTAGTGTCCTCTCTGAATCTAGACCCGCGAGAGCCATCTTGGCTAGGATGACTCCGGCCAAGACCATCTCGAACAGGAATGAGTCCAGCTGGTGGCGGTGTAGCGCGAACAGGCCTTGGAGGTGCACCGCCACGGATTGAGCCAAATCCGGGCTGGTTTATGACAGGCGTACGAGCAGGACCGGGTCGCATCTGTGCTGCTTCATCCCGACGGCTCGGGCTTCCATGACCTAGTGGGACATTCGAACGACCGGCGGCAGCCCCTAGAGGTGCAAAATATGTTGGTGACGATGAAGATCCAGGAGAGCTGGATGCTTCGGTCTGTTCTTCTGGCACGACACCGCCGTAGAAACCGTGGGAGTCACGATAAAAGGATGAACCTGATAGTGAATGGGATGGAGAAGGTCGCTGACCAGGCGGGGGATCATCGAAAGGGCTTCGGCCTTTGGCCACGCCTGCAGCCATACCTAGCCCAGCTGCGGCTCCAGTAGGTCCAGCACTAGGACCGGCAGCAGGAGGGTCACCCCAGCCATCACCACCAGACGCCAGTACAGATGGGAGCTTTCTTCCAGAGATCTTCTGGAAGCCTCGTTCACTAGGAACGGTGTCGGCAGTGGTCGCTGTTTGAGATGAAGCAGGTCTTAGACTTCGAAAGAAGCCAGCGGCGGCTATAGGAGCGGTGCTGGATCGTTGGGTCATATTACCGGATTCCGGCACACCTCCGTGGCCTATGGTCTGAGGGACAGGCGGAGATATAGTTCTCCGATTGCCAAGCCTGCCTCGTCGCCAACGGAACAACAGGAGAAGTATAACGAAGATCATGGCCAAGCCTGCGACGCCACCGACGATACCACCGACGAGGTCCTGTGTAGGTGGTGCACCATTGCCTCCCGCGCCGCCATTTGAGCTTGATGAAGGTGAAGGAGTCGGGGCTGTGTTGCCCGAATTGCCACTTCCTCCAGCACCTGCGGCACTGGCGCTGGACATTACGGATGCTAATGATGCTTGGCTCGAGAGCTGTGACGATGCTGGTGCAGATCCTGATGTAGCGAGTGTAGCAGGTGTGAATGTTGTTTGATCAGAGCTTGTGCCAGAGGCTTGGGTCTGGAGGGATGCACTAGGATTCGTTGCATCAGAGATGAAAGTCATCATAGTAGAGATGCTTGCTAATGAAGACTGCGATGCCGTCGGCAGTGCGGAGAGAGAGGGAGGCAAGGTCCCTGACTCTGAACTTAGCCTACTCAGATTTGAGGATGTTGTGGTAGAAGCTAGAAAATCAATCAGTATAAGAGAAAGTGGGATGGATCGAAAAGCGGCTTACCTGACATAGTACCATTATGATTAGTAGCGAATTCGTGTTTGTTCGGAGT